AAAGTACTTTAAACTGTATAAATAATGTAAAATTAAATTGATTTAAACTGCCAATCATACGAAAGTCTTCCTATGGTTTCTAATTATATATATAGTGATGTATTTATTTCGAAATCAGTGATTAATGAATCTTATTTTGATTTGTAAGTTTATATAACAATAATTAATATATTTATGATCGTGAATTTTCTTTTGAAAACTTATATTTCGACAATTACATATTAAAGACATACTGTAAGTAGTATTTTAAAAGTATTAATATAAGAATATTCTAATAGTGCTCATAAAAATACAATTAATATTCTCGAAAAAGAAATCGATGAACTGTTGGAACCATTACAAACAATTTGAATTAGATTCGATATCTTACTATTCGTGAAAAAACTATCAAGTCTTATTTTTCTCAAGTTCTTTAGTGGTTTGTTTAAAAGTTCTTTTGGAGGCACATTTTCTTATTAAATACTAATAATTAGAAAATAAATATTTAATATTATTTAAGAATTTAAAAAAAAAAATTTAAGTAATAATTTGTAGTTCTTTATTAATTTATTACGATAGTATCATTTGATAACTGTACATTATCAAAAAAAGATTGCAAAGTTAATTTTCATTTCATTAAAACTTCTGAACAAACCCGGCCACTCCGCTCTTTTTTTCTAAATTTTATATATAAAATAACTATATATAATATTTATCTGATTATTGTATATAGATATAATTTTTAAAAGTTTATATTTAAAGCCATATAAAGTTGGTTCTTATAACATAAAATATTTAAAAAAAGTGACCCGCCACTCGGCTTTTAATTTTATTTTTAAACAATTATATATAAAAATGTTTTCTTTAGAAAAAAAACCACTTGAATAGTAAATAAACTTAAAATTTTTTCTTACAGCTATTTTCATAATTCCTAGAACACCTGATAAAAATTGGCTGAATGATTTTTCAGCCGATTTGATTAAGTTTGTAATTTCGGCACGATCCGTATAATAAAAACTGGTTTACAGAAGCCAACCTAGTAGGAATATATAGTAAAGCAGTATAGTATAACCTGTTAGATGAGTATAGTAAACTTCAGTATACATTATATGTATAGTAAATATACCGAAAGTATAACTTTTGCGGCTTAAATTATACGGTATGTATATTTTTTTATGGCATTTATTTTACGTAATGTATAGTTTGAATCATGTTTTATACATTATGTATAACTTCTGTACGTCGAATTTCGTGAATTTCGACTCCACCTTATTAAATTGATTTAAAATTAAAATTAATTAATAATCAAAAAAAATAAAAATAAAAAAAAAATTTATAATATTTAATAAAAAAGGATTACTTTACTTATTATACTGTATATGTTGTGCCTTGCTGCAACCGTGGGAAAGACTTGGCTAACATGAGGTCAAATTAGCTCAGGGTTACAAACATAGGTTATGCATTAAGGGTTATAGCAGGTTATTAAGGAATGTAGTTAGTTGGTAGGGTAAGATCAAAATACGTTATTTATTATGCATCGAACAAAACTAATGGAATTCTCTTCCTTTATTAGTTCGGGCCTTATATTTATACATTTTAGTCTGCCATGGTTTGAACCCAAGATCTGCGGTCTCAAACTAAAATCGGTGGTCTTGGACCAAGATCTACGGTCTCAGACCCAATATCGGTGGTCTTGGAAGGTGGGTTAGTCATGGCGAAAAAATGTCGCGATTCCGATCACTGACCAGTCAAAATAGTCAAATAATGTGTGATGTAATAATAATTTTGATTATGATTATCGCATTATACGTTATTCGACTACTTTGACTGGTCAGTGATCACGGGACCGCGACATTTCTTCGCCATGACTAACCCATCTTCCAGGACCAAGATCTATGGTTTCAAGCCACGATCTGTGGTTCTAAACCCAGATCTCCCATACACAACCACTTCATAATGATATTCAGGAAAAATTTACACCTGGAAAAACTTAAAAAATTTTACAACAGCCTCAGATGTCGATTTTGTTGGCCTGCATTAACTGATCGACATCGATTGGCCTAAATTAAACTCTAATTTTACCTTAACTCTTACCCTTAGGTCTGAGGCACGACATATGAGTGCCGCCAAGGGAAAACCTGTCATCGGGCTTTCAATTATATTTTGTACCGGACATATTCCCTAAGAAATCAAATAGATTTTGTCCGGTACAAAATATAATTGAAGCCCGATGACAGGTTTTCCCTTGGCGGCACTCATATAAAAAAAAAAATTAAACTAAAAAAAATCTTAGCTAAAATTATAAAAATCTAAATATATATATACAGTATATAATATTATACAGTCACTCTTAATATAATTACACTATTGTTTAATCTAGCTATTACAAAACATACTGTATAAATTTTGACCTTTATATATATTTACAACTTTTTATAATTACCAAAATTTGCAAGGTCTCATCTTTAACATTAAAAATAATAATAATAATTACCAAAATTTTGTTTTCCAACCTGATGATTATATTGAAATATGACTATATATATATAGCAAATTAAAACTATATTATTTTATTTGATTTTTTAATTATAAATTATATATACAGTCACACCCTCCTAAGTGTATAGTGAAAAAAAATTAAAATTTTGCACTTAGAGGGCGTTTGTATTTATAGAGAGTAAAATATATAGGACTTGGAGCCAAGCATGATTGTGTATTTAGAGAGGTTTTATATAGTACTTGCACTTAGGGGGTGTGACTGTATATAAAATATACAGTATTTTATTTGCAATATTTTTAAAATAAAAGTTAATAAGTAATGTTGGGATGGTGCTGAAATTTAGAGTCCCCATTTAAATCTATAATATCTACTAAAATTCACATATACATTTTTACTAACAACACTAACCCTAAAAAAAAAAAAAACCTAACAAAAGGCCAGAAAATTTTTTAAAATTTCATAATAAAATAGCTCAAAATTTCAGCATCATCCGATTTCAGCATCATCCCCGACAAGTAATATTAATTTTTTAAAAAAATAAACCAAAATTTGTTTTAATGAAAATTTTTTTACTACAGTATTTATAAAATAAAAATTATTACAAATTATTAGTAATGCTTAATAATAGTATAGTTTTTTTGCTAAAATTTACGGTTAGGGTACAGTTTGAAATATATAGGAGGTTTATATATAATAGTTCAAATTTTAGATTATACGAGGTTTGGGGGAGGTTTTGAATATTTTTACTTAATATTCTCAACTCTAATTACTTAGTAGATTTTTGAGATATAGCAACACCTCTTATAATATACTGTACATACTGTATACAGTATATTTTAAAAGTTGTAAAAATATAAGAATTAAATTTTATTTAAAATATAATTTTTTGTAAAAATTTAATAAAAACCAGTTTGTGTAAATTAGTGGTTTAAAAAAATCAATTTAAATAATTACTGTATTTATAATTTACTGTATATTTATTATTAAACTTTTAAATTTTATTAATAAAATAGAATTATATTTTTTTTTATATATTTTTATTAGCTAAATAAATTATATAATATTTGGCAATACCAACTAGACTGTTAAATTTTATCATCAAATAATTTATTTCTTTGGATCTTCTTTAAGAGTAACAATTCTATTAATTACTAATTGATTTGCTTTACTATGCGGTTCTTCTATCACTGAATCTTTATCGAGACAAAAGTATCCAACACGAATAGCCTGAAACCTAACTGATTCATAATCATTCTTAGATTTATCAAGTGCACGTGATACAACTTCATGCAATCCGACCTCAGCTAAAGAACCAGTAGCAATTTCAAGACTATTGGGATTTATATCTGCCAAGAAACCATCCGGGTTTGCATTTGGGTTTTCCGAGATAAAAAGATTATTATAGATACGACCTTCATGAAGGCGAACTGGAGAATTATGCTTGCTTGATTCTGCAACCCATTGAATGTATGTTTTTGGTTTCTTGACGTTAGGCCCGTTCTCGTAACGACAAATTAAATGTTGAATATTTCCCTCTGCATCTTTCACAACATCGGTGCAAGTGATGCAATGTGGTACGTACAGTAATCCAACTGTCTTACCTACGGCAAGACGAAAGTAATCAGGTGAATCTTGCTCTCGAAAATCAGATTTATCAATATAAACAATCCTACTAAACGGAACGGTGTGCTATACAGAAATTAAAAAGGTTAAGGATTGCTATTGCTATAAGGAAAAAGTGAACTATAACGAATTTGTTGATACTCACTTCTCCCATGGAAGGATCTTTTGGTTTAAAAGGAACAGTCAATTCCTCGATATAATCATCAGGCAAATTTTCAATGATTATCTTTATTGGTTCTATAACTATCATTAACCTTGGTACGTGTGCATCTAAATAATCTCTAACATATTTCTCAAACCGAGACACTTGAATTGTTGAATTTGAAGTGGTGACACCAAGATCTTGAACAAAACCATTAATTGCCCCTGGAGGTACTCCACGTCTACGCAAAGCAGGAAGAGTATATAATCGTGGATCATCCCATCCTTTGACATAACCCTCGGTAACGAGTTTCAAGATTTTGCGTTTTGACATGATGGTATTGTTAATTTGTAATCTAAAAGTTCATTGATAAAATAAATGATCTTGCATAGAAGCTAAATTGTAGGGATGATGGCTGCGTGACAAACATACCTATTATATTCAAATTGAACAGGTTTATAGACTTCAAGTGCATCACAAAGCCAATAATAAGATTCACGAGACATTCGGAACTCGAGGGTACATAATGAATGGGTTATATTTTCGAAAGAATCACAAAGACAATGTGTATAGTCATATGTTGGATATATGCACCATTTATCACCCGTTCGATGGTGTGGAGTGTAAAGGACACGATAAGCAACAAGATCCCAAAATTGGGGGTTTCCACTTTGCATATCCATCTTCATACGTAGGGTGACTTCGGATTCTTTGTATCGTCCTTCTTTCATCTTTTGAAATTCAGCTAAGGACTCTTCGATAGGACGATTACGATGAACACATTCCCTTCGCTCACCACCACTATCACCTCCACGCATTTCATGCATCTCTTCAGGTGTACATGAACATGCGTAAGCCTTGTCTCGTTTTATTAACTCAATTGCCAACTCGTATAACTTGTCAAAGTAATCAGAGGAATAAGTCACCTTCCATGGTTTGAATCCTAACCACTCTATGGCTTCTCTTATAGAATCAAAGTAACGTTCTTCTTCGGCTATAATAAGAAAATAAATAAAATTACTATAAACTGAATATAATTACATAACACTAATTAAAAAAAATATTTTACCTTCAGGGTTCGTATCATCATATCTATAAATAAATATAAAAGACTGATAAATAATTGTTAATAAGAAAAAAAAATTTAAACATAACAATTACAAACCTAAGATAGCAAAACCCATTATGCGCCTTGGCATATCCAAAATTTACATTGATCGCTTTTGCATGGCCGATATGCAAAAAACCATTAGGTTCAGGTGGAAACCTAGTAATTACTTTACCATCTGTCTCCTTTAAATGTTTCTCCATCAACTCCGGCTTAATTTGCTTGTTACCACCAGGTTTATGAAGCTTTGAAAGTTCTCCTTCTAAAAACATATTTGGGATTGAGTTCATTTTAGATTCAGCATATATTTTTATTTTTTGAAAAGGAGTTGATGCTGATTTAGGTTCTTTGTCTTTTTTCTAAGATAAAGAATTATCAGAAAAAAAGATATTAGAAAGGTAAATAGGAAATTTTGATGAAGGTGAAAACAAAAAAAACTAAAGTACCTTTCCTTTAACAGTCACATCTCTGTCATCTTTCGGTCCAATCATTGCGATCACTTGCTTTTCAAGTTCATTTTTTACAGCGACACCATTAGCCCAACGTAACTCAGGAATCTGCCGTGCTTGAGCAAGTAATGGACCGAGTAACTTATATCTTTCCGAAATGAGGGCATCTTTATTAGCATCCAAATGTTTTGTAATTGCTGCGGTTATCTGATCTGGAGTTACGATAACACCTATTATAAAAAAAATAATAATAATTGTTCAACGCGGCACATATGTATAATCGACAAATAAGATAATCAAATTACCAACTCCACAAGCTCGGTTAAATTCCTCGTCATTGATTCCTTCATTGGTCGTTTCAGCAAATTTTATAGCAGCTTTTTCATTCAAATGCAAATCAGCAAAAATGTATATATATATATAAAGTCTTTTACAACAAATTTAGGTGTAAAATACGAACAATTACTCTACCGGCAACCTGTTCTGAGCTATTAAGCCTATTATCACTGACAGCTCGTGCAAGATAACCCAGGTGGGCTGAAGCATCTTTACTCACAGTTGAAGCAAGCGTATAAAGAAGATCGCCGACTGATTTATCACAACCACTCTGAGTAACACCAGCTTCGGAGATCGTGTTCTGTAAGTTTAAAGCTAACTTCTTATTTTTAACAGTTTCTTTTGCGCGTTGTTCTTTCAAGCCTATTGCTTGAAATAGGGCGATCAACTCATTGTCGGCCATTTTGATTTACGTATTAAGTTATAACTAAAAAAATAATTAACTGGCGCAGAAAACATGCTTTATACAAATTTAAGTGCACATGACTACGTAAAAATCCAACAATTACAGTCTAGGAATACAGTCAGGGATTTTAAGCATGGTGGACAAACCGATATTCAGTGATGATCTACCCAATTTAATAAAAAAATTTTTTTTACTTTTTTATACGCT